GCATACACCCAGCAGCGCTGCTGATGCCTGAACGGTATGTGGAATGAAGTGGGCGGGCATCGGGAGGCCACTATGGCACGGGGCAAGCACTATGGGCAGTCTATCTGAAGTGTACCTGGCGTATAAGACGACCCCCACTTGGAGGCATATTTTTCAGGGCCAAAAAATCGTCTTATACGCCGGCAAATACGGTATTCTGGGGACTGATATGATCTCATTTAATTGTTAAAAGATCACTTCGGCTGCTTGTGGAGAGATTTGAAGGGGAATAGAGTCAGAGGATCTATTAGAAAGAAAGTTCTGGATTCATGCAAGAGATCATGACAGCAGCCTGGACCAGGGGAGTGGAGAGGCATCTGCTCATCATTCAACAAGTGTTTACTGAGAAGGACTCTCTGCCCACACTATTCTGGGTTGATGGGAATAAGACAGTTTCATTCTCTACTCTCATAGGATTCCCTCAAAGTGAAAGAGACTGGAAATGAAACAAATATCAGGTCATTATATGACCTATAGCAGATGGTATATTCGTTTGCTAAGGCTGCAGTGAATGTGTCAGGCTGCCATAACAAAACATCACAGTCTGGGGGCCCAAACAGTTATTTTCTCACAGTGTTGGAGGCTAGAAGTCCGAGATGAAGAGGCAAGTTTGGTTTCCTCCATGGCCCCTCTCCTCTGCTGTGGATGGCCGCTTTCTCACTCTGTCTTCACGTGCCCTTTCCTCTCTGCACACCTGCCCCTGTGTGCCTGTGTGTCCAGGTCTTCTCTTCTCATGAGGACACCCTTCTCAGGGCCCACTTTAACAACCTCATTTCTACTTTAATCACCCCTTTAAAGGCTCTCTCACCAAATACAATCCCAGGGTGAGTTATTGAGCATTAGGGCTCTAACATATGAATTTTGGGGTACACTTCAGCCCATAGCAGATGGCAACCCATGCTGTGAAGAAACATCAAACACAAAGATGGACAGAAGTGGATAGATTCGGGATACATTTAGGGGGTAAAGCTGACTGGTCCCATGTGATGGTTAGATTGGGAGCCAGAGGCACCAGAAATGGAGCATTCCCAGCTTTGGGGCTTAAGCCACTGGTACAGGCTCAGGTGGTGTGAGTCTGGGGAGAATTGTGTTGTGCCTTCCAAGGTACTGACCGTGCTCATGAGATCACATGTCATACAACCTGCTGGTGGCTGCGGACTGTCCATTGGACTGACAGTGTCTTCTTCCCGACTCCAGACTAACATGAATGCATTTATAACTTCACTCAAAGATTGCTAGACATTTAACTAGATGGAAACATATGCATTCTCTCTATGTCAGGCTTTTTAATTCTCCACTTCTGTCCTCCAAAACATCATTTCTATTAACATGTGGTCAGCATTTATTAATAAGTATTCCAAAAGTTCCAGGGGGGTTGGTGTCCAATTTGCAATTGTATTCTTAATCAATTTGAGCTGGAGTCAGGGCTTTAAACGCTTGCCTTGCGTCTCCAAAAACAGTTAAAGAAAGATAGGCATACCACTAGAAGGAAATTATTTTCCCATATGAACCAAAATCTCTCGTCTATATTTTAAAGCCCATTTAACATTTTTGTGTTATTTTAATAGTATTTCAGCCGTAGTTACCCTGCACTGTTGTTTCTCAGTGTTAGCGGATAGCCACTGCAGCTGTAACTGTGTACGAGAAATGTCAGCACAATTTTCCACCCAATTTCAAAGTTTCTAGCTAAATTGACTTTTAGAATTTTTAAAACTATTTTTTTACACCAACCTTGTGGGACAATGTCATTGAACCCGTGGAGTGTCTGCGACACGGTTCTGATGTATGTACTGAGCTTTCTCCTCAATTGTGTGGCTTCCCACTGAGCACTGTCAGGTTTAAAGCACGAGATAAAGGGCAGAATAATATGTCTTCAGATGCTGCAATGACATCTGCAGGAGTTTAAATGTCACCAACATCAAGGCATTTTACCCCAAATGCACAGCAGTTGGGGGGGGGCGGAGTCTCAGTGGGGAGTAAGTGTGGAATGCTGGTCTGGATCCTGAGGTCAACTGTATTTGGCCGAAGGTCAGTGAGTTGAAGCTGGTGGGATGATAATGTAGATGCTGGGGGAAATAACAGTCAAGAGAGCACAGGGCTTGGACGTAAACTGGAGAGTGGGGCTGGGGTTGAGAGGAGGGTCAGAGAGCTCAGGAGCTCAGAGAAGTGGACCAAACAGGTCGCCAACATAAGGAGAATGTCCACAGAGAGAGATACCTGTCATAATCTGGGGATGAGAGCCCTGGTCTCACCAAAGATCAGAGACCATCATTGTTTCATATTGATGAAAGTTAACACTCAGGACAATTAAGCTTCTAAATTGTCTGCCACTGAACCTAGAAGGAAGGGAGGAAGAGGGATGGAAGATGAAAGAATCAAGGCAAACGTTCTGCTTTTTCAAATCAGAAGGGGTGTCAGAAGAAAGCAGGGACATTGGACCAGAGAAGATCATTTCTAATTGCATAAATCCCAAAGGTTAATCCATTTGCCCAGTGTTCCCCCGAGGACAAGGGGAGGCATCCCTTTATAAAGCCTAACGAAGAGCCTCCCAACACTACAGTTAAGAGTCTGAGCTCCCTTCTCTCATGGGGTAGATGTTCCCTTTGCCCTTTAAACCTGAGGCATAAATGGGCTTCGGGCTCCTGGAACATATTCCCATGTGAAGAATTGACTTGAACGGATAGTTCCAAAAATAACTGCAAATTATATAGGAGAGCAGAAAGGAAACGATTTCAGACCATCAGAGCAGCATGACATGTGTCAGGTTGACTAGATGTGAGGACTCTTCAACTCTGAGACGCTCACAGGAGAGGTCTTCCTTGGGCCCTGACTGTTGACTCCACCCTAGCCGTGGGTCCGGAAGGTAGCATGAGGGGGTCTCTGAGCTATTGTTATTTGTTCAAAACCAGAGCAGAAGGTATATGTTTTTGCACCAGCGTCTGCCTAATCGCACCAAGGTCCTTGGTTTTGCTGAGCTTTAGAGGCAATGATGCAGTTTGGTAGACCAGATAGTTGAGTGGGTGAAGGCGATGGGGACAAAAGGTAAGGAAAGTGATCACTGGTGATAAAATATTTGGGAGCAATGAGAGGAGCCTGGAGAGTCGGCACAGCCTTTCCTGTGAGCCCTTTCTTTGAACCCTAGGGTCCAGGTGACATCGTTGACCTCCCTTTGCCCAGGAAACAAGAGAATGTGCTCATTAAATGCTGATTGGGGGCTAACATGGACCTGGTCTGAATTCTGTTTCTGTCATTACTGCTGTGTAGCTTTGAGCAAATTAAATTTGGTGAGCCTTGGTTTCTGCGTCTCTAAAAGGGAAATAATATTAGTGTTTGCTTTACAGGAAAGTTATGAAGTTAAATTAGATAAAATCTCTAAAGCATTTATCACAGTACTAGTACCTGGCATTGTAGGAGCTTTCAAATAAATGACATTATCATTATTATTTGTGTCTCCGGATATTTGACTCACTCTGGCAGATAGGCCCTTTTGCACCTCCTTGAGCCTCTTAACAGCCCCCCATTTGATCCCATTCTGGGAGTGGTTGATGTGATAAGGACCCATGACATTTTTGTACCTCATGGAAGGAAGGTCATTCTTCTAGGTGTAGGTTATCAATCCACTCATCTTTGAAGTACTCACATAGGTGAGGACTTATCTCCACAAAGAAGGAGATGGACCCAAGTCACCCAGCATATGTTTGATTCTAGAATTGATCGCTTATAGACCCTGAGTTTCTTTTGAAAGTCCTTTCTTCTGTTTGCCAAGTCCCCAAAGTTCCCATTTCCTTCCCATCTTTCCAAGACACCGTAGAATGTAGACTGAACATTTTTTTGAGTTTTCTGTGCCTCAGTTCACTTACTGTGACCTAAAGATAAAACCACCAACTGCATTGGTTTAAAAGAGCTACTGGGTAGACACTGCACATGACACCACTTGCAGTCCACCTATGGGAATGAAAGCTACTAGCATCCCCACCCCAACCCCCACCCCCTGCCTTTTCCCTCTCCTTCTCTCTCTTCCTCCTCAGCATCTTTTTCATTAGCAACAAGGCCAGGTTGGAAGTCTGAGGCCCAAAGGTGCTTCACTTCAGCTTTCTTCTTTCTTCTCACCCAGGCTACAGGAGGAATTTTCTATGGTGACCCCCTCCCCCAATTTCTTCTTCCAAACATGGCAGTATCGCCCAGCAGTTAATATGGATTTGAGGTCCTCAGAGACCTGGATTCATGGCTTGGTTCCCCCACTTTCTGGCTGGCTGACTGTGCCAAATCATGTAACCCCTCTGAGCCTTAATTTTCTGACCTGAGAAATGGAGATACTGCCCACCCCATGGATTTTTGTGAGATTGTAGGCAAGAGGATGCATGAAAGCTCTCAGAACACACCCAGCTCATAGTAAGCGATCCATCAACAGTAGCTCCTCACTGAGCCAGGCCAGAGCTTCGTCCTCAGTCTCACCCTGCCAGGTGCTGTGCTGAGCTGCCAGGTGCCCACAGGGAAGGTGGTTCCCACTTTGAGATCTGTTCTCATGTGCTTTCTGGTTTCTCTTTTAGGAAAAGCACCTCACTTTCTGCGGCTCCAAAATGTCGAGGTGAACGTGGGTCAGAATGCCACATTCCAGTGCATTGCTGGCGGGAAGTGGTCTCAGCATGACAAACTTTGGCTCCAGGTAAGGATGGGAGAGGCCCCCTCCTCACACCTTAGTAAGGGAAGAATGTACTGCTGTGATGAAGGACTTGGTGGGGAAGGGGAAGGGATATTTTTTAAGTACCTCTGCTCCTTAGATGATATTTAGCATCCGTGATCTTATTAAATAGCAACTAATTCTATTATGTAGGCATCAGCATTCATAGTTTTGCTTCTCTTCTTGGATTTGAGCACGTTTCCCGCAGTTGGAAAGTCCCCGGATGCAGAGCGCACCTAGGGGCTAGCTGTTCTTCCTTGCTCCTTAGCAGGACAGTAGACTGAAAATGACAGCGATGCCTGCCTTTCCTGCTCCCGTGGGCTGCCTACTGACCCAGGAGAGCACAGCACACTTCCACGTGTCACTCAAGTATTACGTGGTGTTATTTACTCTTTTCATTATAATTAGTGTTCAAGTGCATCAGGCTCCCAAGAAGCTTTGAGCTGAGCCTTGAGAAAGAGACGGGACAATCACAGCACTTTTGCATCCTTATTTGGCTTTCCCAATTTTATGATCGTTATTGCTGCAGTTCTGAGTTGCACACCCTACGCCGTGAGTCTATGGGTGGAAGGATGTTAACGCAGAATGTAATTGAAGTTTTGAAGAAAATAGGTGGGGACATGTGGCGTGGCTCTCTCCCTCGTCTGATTTATCCACTTTTCAGTGTAAACCAAATCCTATCTCACAGAATGCTTTCCAGGTGGCTTATGATGGCACATAAAATGTGACAAGATAGCAGAAATTAAAAGTGAGGTGAGATAGAAGGAAAAGAATATGGTGGAGCTGGAAAGAATGCTAACATGGTGTTTCTCCACGTCCGCCGCTCACGTGGGCCACAGCAGCGGAGCCGCCAACGGAGTAAAGGCAGCTTGTCAGATCCACAGTTCCCAGTGTCCACGAGATAAACACGAACCAATTGCTTGGGAAAATTCTAACTGTGGTTCACACGGGCCAGACAGGAATTGTTCCCAAGAGTCCTCATAAAGGAACAGCCTGTGATGTAGGGAACTGTGCTCTCCGCTGCGGTCTTAGCGAGGGCACGCGAGTGAGTTTCATGGGCTTGTTGCACATAATGATGCTTGGTATAAAGGCAGCTTGGGGACGTGGCTGAGGAGAGGGCGGGGGGTGGGCAGTCCAATTTGACAGAGGTCTCTCGCTCTCTGCTGATCCATCTGTGTCCTGGGATTCTTTTCTGGTATCTGGTGAGTGGACAGATTCAATATTTCTTTAAGGAAACCTCCCCAAATATTGTCTCCCTCGTCTGTATTTCAGGAAATATTGGAAGACAGACAGTTCCCCTATGCACTCCGGCAAATGCCTGCTTGGCTAGTTAAGTCCAGAGTTATATCCACCAGTGTCGTTGGAAATAGGTTAACATCTTTCTACACCTGCTACCCAGGAGACAGCTGCAGCCTGGATCGGAGACGGGCTGAGGCGGTGGCAGATTTCTTATGCAGTTTTCCTATGGATTTGTTCCAGCACCTAGAGGTGCAGCCTACAGACTCGCCAAAGCTCTGTTCCATTTAATGGTGCTGGGGCGACTGAGCCTGAGAATTTCCAAAGGAATTGAAATAGACACATCGTGACCAAGAGTCTCCACCAGACACCCACCGCAGGTCTAAGTTTCAGCAAGGCTATTTCCTGCTGTCGCTTCCAAGATAAGCCGAGGAATCTCTGAGTCAGCAAAGGCAGAGACCGTTGTACCCACCAGTTTTAAGTCAGGGGAGGGAAGACACTTTGTTTCCAGAATAGCATGTCAGTGGCCCATCTTTCCGGCAATGGTTGGGGAGCAGTCGGTTTGAGATCAATCCTATCACCCGAGTTGTAGAGAATGCTTGCCTTCCTTTCTACAGAGCAGGACTCTAGCCTGCTCAACCTTAAATGGGTTCAGGTGATAAATTAAGAAGTTAAAAAGGAAGCCAGCCTGTACCCCTGCTTTACAGTTTCCTGGAAACTCGGTATGCTCTTTAGAAGACCCTGTCTGCTAGTGCTGGCTTTCACGGGGTTACAGCGTGAGCCCTCGCTACGAATTCATGGACTGAACCGTGCACTTGTGCCTAGAACAACTCTAATCCTGCAGGGAAGAGGCTGATGAAGGCCCACTACAAGTTATAAACAGCTCATCTTGTTCTGCGATGATTCCTCCTGAGGTGAAGAGTAATGCACAGTGAATGGTGCACGTTCTGTGGACTCATTCATAACTTGCTGCTTTCTTGTGGGATACTTTGGTCTGAAGGACCCAAACTTGCACGTTTTCAAGCATTTTTTCAAACACATAGACAGTGTGCATTCTCAGTAGACTGTCTAGTCCAGCGGTTCTCAACCTGTGGGTCACCACCCCTTTGGGGGTCGAACGACCCTTTCACAGGGGTCACCTAAATATATCCTGCATATCATATATTTACATTATGATTCATAACAGTAGCAAAATTATAGTTATGAAGTAGCAACAAAAATAATTTTATGGTTAGGGTCACCACAACATGAGGAACTGTATTAAAGGGTCGCGGCATTAGGAAAGTTGAGAACCACTGGTCTAGTCTAAGGTTTGGGGAGCCCTTTACAGCAAGAAGAATACTATGCAGGGCAAAGGAGTCATAACTGGACCTCCAGGAGGATCAGTGTAGCTCAGGAATGCATGTGGGCATGTTTCCTAGAAGATCATTTGGCAATAGATATCTAAAGCCATACATGTGCACATCCTTCCAATAAGTGATTGTACTTATGGGAGTTTACTCAGGCAAATAACCAGAGACAGGAAGATTATCTGCCAGTGTGTTCAACAGGATGAAAAATGGAAAATAACCCACGTTTCCAGCAAAAGGGACTGATTAAGTAAATGCTGGAATGGCATCATTAAATTCCGGTTATAGAAGTCTCTCTAATGACATTGCCACCGTATGTATTTAGGTGAAAAGAGCAAGTTTTAAAAACAATTTATATGTTCAAGGTATTTATTTTTATGAGCAAACATATACAGCAGTCCCTCCTATATGCAGTTTCAGTTTACTGTGGTCAACAGTGGTCCTAAAATATTAAATGGAAAATTCCAGAAACAGACAATTCATTTGTGTTAATTAGTATGCCTTTCTGCATAGTGTGATGAAATCTCAAGCGTTCCTGCTCTGTCCCACACAGGCTGTGAATCATCCCTTTGTCCATCGTGTCCAGAGCTACCCCACCTGTTAGTCACTCAGTAGCCACCTTGTTTATGAGATTGGCTGGAACAGTATCACAGTGCTTGCGTTTAATAACACTTATTTTACTTAATAATGACCCCAAAGCTCCAGAGCAGTGATGCTGACAATTCGAATATGCCAGAGGGAAGCCATGAAGTGCTTCATGAGAGTGAAAAGATCTGTATCTGTGAAGAAACATAGTGTATATAGGGTTTGATATTATCCACAGTTTCAAATATCCACTGGGGTCTTGGAATTCATCCTCCATGGATGTGGTGGAACTGCTGTACTTTTTATTTTCATCTCTATTCTTTTTCATTTTATCTAAATACACTAAAATGAGTGTAGGTAACTAATGTAAATAGAAAAATGCGATTAAAATGAGAAAAATGGTCAAGGATATTCTAAGGATGGCAGGAAGCCTTAGGGCATTGGGGTAGCTCATTCCTCAGTGGGGGTAGCACAGGCCCCCGCTCCCCCTTGAGGCTACAGGTAAAATGACCCTTGGGTTTTCTCCACATTCTCATCGCCACCATCGGCTACTCTTTTTGTAAAAAAACACACACACACCATGTTTTTATTGATTTCAGAGAGAGGAGTGGGAAATAGAAAATTCAATCATGAGAGAGAGTCATTGATCAGCTGCCTCCTACACACCCCCTACGAGGGCATTGAGCCTGCAAACCAGGCATGTGCCTTGACTGGGACTTGAACTGTGATCTCCTGGTTCATGGGTCTATGCTCAACCACTGGGCCACACCAGCCGGGCCCATCAGCTACTCTTCATCCATGAGGGGATTTAGGAATATTTCATGTATCATCTGGTCTGTATGGAAGACCGTGGCCCATGGGGGCCTTGCTCACACTTCTCAGAGGTTCCAGAGGAGACCCTATCACCCCACTGCAGGACTAATTTCCAGGCATCCCTACAAAGGACTTGCTCCACCAGGGGTTTTTACAACAACTAACATTTGAAGAGTCCCAGAAATAAGGCCATGTGTCCAAATGTTCTGCGCAGATCTCAGCAAGAGCCGCGTATGTGTTCAGACCAATCACAGGCATTGAGCAGGGTGCACACCCTAACCTGGCAGGAAAAGGATCCTGCCCCGTGAGCCCGTCAGATGCACAGCAGCTACACCAGGCTGAGGAGATAAGAGGACACATTCATCCTTGCTGCAGCCCAGTCTCCCAGGAAACCCGCTCCCCGAAGGGCTAGCGCTGGCTCCCAGGGCTGTGAGTGTCTGGAAGCAGCTCCTCCTTCTGCACCTGTACCGGGTGTTCCTTGCACTGTGGGACTTCTGTTGAAAATCTAGTGGTCACGCCATAGCTAAACTATAATGATAAATTAGTAATACTCATTCCGGCTGGTGTTTATTGAGTGGTCACACATATGATGTATTTCATTCTCATAACCTGTATTTCATGTAGATACTATGTCTAACCCGTCGTATAGATGAGGGGGCTGAGCCTTAGGGGGTAGATGAGTGGCACAGGTCAGAGTCACCCAGGTCGTGCCTGGTGGAGGCAGCGTTGGAGTATTGGCATGTGTCATATTCCTAAGTCCTGGGCTCACCCTTCCACGCCCACCTCCTGGGCCCGTCACCCTGTGTCACCACTCCAGCTTTTCTTTCCATACAGATGGTTTTCTATTAAAGTAATCATCTGTTTAGCACATACTGACATGCCTCTCATTTGCACTGTACTAGATACTTAAATAGAGTTGAGTTTCTCAAATCTACATAGTCAATGAAATAAAAATACCCCTGGAATATTTTTCAAGTTACTCCCCTCTGGTTGCCTTCTTCC